TTCGTCTTCCAGGCACTGATTAACTAGCCTTTGTGCAATGGATGCACAAGTGACCGACCAGGCCGCTGCGTGGGGTGAATGCCGATCGCAATGAGCACAGGTTAGAATCGAGTCCTAACACTGATGGAAAGGGTGGTGGTGATGACGGTAGCGCTGGACGAAAGGTCAGAATTGGTCATAGCGATGGTGAGAGTGGGAGAGATGGTGTCGGTGTATAAAATATGACTGACCGAGGACAGCTACTAAGTCAGAAACGGCTATTTTTCAGTCTGGTTTGTCTGTGCAACTATTTACCCTGCCTATATATGCGGGATGAAATACTAAAGAAGACAACAGAGGCTAGGAAGAAGGTTTCTGGCACAGGCGTTGAGGATGTACCACGGCTCGATGCATTTACGGAGACGTTGAATTACTGATTCATTCCCAGCGTTCGTCACGCACTCTGCGTTCTCTAAGACCTCAAGTTTTGACACAGAAAACTATGATTTTATCAAAATTCATAGAAGAATACATACATGCATATATAAAAAGGAGCATTGCCAGGAAATTAGTTTGAATTTAAACGTTATAGCACAGTGTACTGACCAAAAAGGAGTGAACGCTATGCAGTTAGACGATGGCAGCTGAACTGACGAAGGAACACAAGGACCTTATTCAAAGGACTCATGTTTAAGATCCTTGCACCATGAATCTTACAAATTGTAGGATTTCCTCCCATGGCCTCAATACTAAAAACTTACTTGCATCTACTCAGTAGCCCAAGTTGTCGCGCGGCAGATTGAAAATTAGTGAAAAATCAACCTACTCAAATTTTACTGCAGCAGTTTTCAAGAGGGCTTGTAGCTGGCAGTCAACTATGTGCAAAAAATAAATTGAAAAAAGTGTAAATCGGGCTCCTGAGCAGATACAGGTTGGTTTTCATTATTTAGGTCTCCCTAGAGGTGGTCATACGAGGAACTCTTACCTTAAAAATGAACCTATAATCAATTTCTGGTGCTTATGCATAATCCACACGAGGAACTTTGAGGACACACTGTGAACCCACATCTCAACCTTTGTTTTACACCCTCCCAGGATATATACAAAACAAACATGCATATAAAATTAGGCCAAAACTGTTGAAAGCATAAAAACACAACACATTCGAGCTCTTTAAGCAAAAAAGACAAACTAAACAGTTGTTTCGGTTTACCGTGTGAGAGAGGGATGAAATCAGGGGCACGACACCATGGTCTGTAATAACGGCCAGGTTCTCCTCGTCCATGGCAATCTTTGAGATAGCTCCGCAAACTGCTGCCCGCACGTTTACATGCTCCGAATGCAGCAAGCTGACGATAATTTCCAGACCTCCGACAAATGATCTAACCATTTCGCCAGAATCCTGAAAACAAAACAGAGTACAATCATCGGAATTATTTTCAGTGCGATAGGAGAAAGGGCCATACCGGAACTGTGCTGTTAACTGCTTAGAAAAACTGAAGAAGCAAGCGACCAACATTGTCGGAAACTTCACTGGCGGACAAAAAACACCAAGCAACAGTGACCACATCGTAAAATAACCACCATAAACTGTATTTACGAAGCCTCACCCTTGCGTTTTCAATGCAGGGACACAGTGCCCAAGCGGCATTAGCCTGCACGTCAGGATTCGGGTTCTTCAGCAGAGACCACAAAAGGCGAATTCCGTCGTTGCGATCGATAATGCTGCGAAAGATGATAGAAACAGAAAGTGCTTCTAAGTGAAAGTAATCTGAAAAGGTGATTTGCCAACCAATGTTCTCAGCAATTCTTCATCAGGCCAGTACATTTGCAGCGATAAAGACAGGGTTAATAAGTGTACTTCGATTACAACTCATCTTTTTCACGCTGTCCGCATGGCAAGATCGGCGTGTAGAGGTCCTAGTGCTGGGGGAGGGGGGG